GTGTGTGTGTGTGTGTGTGTGTGTGTGTGTGTGTGTGTGTGTGTGTGCATGGATTCTGACAGCTTGTCATATCATTTCACCATTTATAGCAGAATTCTGAATGAGCCTTCAGATAACAACTACATTTTTTTCTGCACATGGAGATTCTAAAAACAACTGTAATTCATATCACATGGAAGAGAAGATGTGGTCTCAGGGGCTAATGGTGAAAAACAATCTGGTCTTTAATGCGGGATTGTGTAAAATCCTTAACTGATCAAGAGGACAAGTATAAAGGCAAGAAACCATTGGTGCTGAATAAATGCACATTTTGCTTGGAGGGGGAAATGAAGGTTAACCTGTCAGAGGCTAAAGCCTCTGATCTATAAAAACACCTCAAGAGAAATGTGATTGTGCCACCCACTGACTGCTGATGATAGTATCTCCATATATCAGAAAGCATGTGTTCTTCATTGAAAGGAGCAAGATGACCATCAGCCATGTTTTCAGACATATTACTCCACACAGTCAGTTGCTTAACTCTGCTGTTAAGTTGCCAAACCAGGGAACGGACCATTGGAAAGTGTGTGGAAATGTTCTGTTTTTGCACTGGGCCAGTAAGGGGAGCTGCCAGTCTGGTGATAATTATAATATTGAGAGATGACGGGAGACTAAACCAATTAACGTCTAAGGACCGTGTCTGCTAAATGAACTGCTCAAACAAATAGAAGAAATAAACTCAACAGGGCGACCACACTAGAGCTCACCCTGCTGCGTACCCTTAGATTACAGCACAAAACACAGTGATCGTGCTTTGATCTGTAAATAGCAAGGCAGTTAGGTTGAAAACTGGTATTTGCAGGGGCACTTAAGGTAAAAGCTAAATATGGTTCAAAGCAGCATTTCTTTGAATTTTCTTGTGCGTGAAAGACAGAAGTTCTAGCTCCCCATAACATCAGCTTACTTGCAAATATGCGAGGAAGCTCCTGTGCATTACAGTCATTTTATTTTTCTCTAAGTGCAGAGTAAGCAAAGAGGTCAGAGGAGTTTTTGCAGCATGGTGCCACAGTGGCTAAGTAGACAGCCCCCCTGGAAACCCATGTCCATTGTTTGCATTAGATCAGATGTAACTGCCACCGTGCTGTTGTTTTACTTTGAATGAATAAGCTATAAGTGGCAATGTTCTGTATGTTTCAGCTTGTTTTGGAATTAATAAATGTTTGCGCCACAAAGAAACATTGCTATCCTATTCAAATTAACTGTTTTGAGTCCAATCTAAATGTCACTGTATTTTGAGTCATTCTTATCTACAGGCATGTGCCTGAGACTGTACAAAAAAAGACGTATGATGATGAGATGTAAGTGTTTCTAAGAACGCCATTAACTGGTGCTCAGAAATGCCACATCATGATCTCCAGAGTGCCATTGGTCTCAAAGCACTCTCTGAGTGTTCATTGTGTGTCGTCTGCAGCTGCAGCAACAGTTTTAACTCTCCTCTTTTGGTTGCAGCTCATGGGCCACTTTTTTTTTTTAGGAATCTCTCTCAATTAACTGTGTTCTCGGTCTGCCTCAGAACCCCTAAAACACTTTCCCAGTTCACTCCTGTCTAAGCCTTTGCACCCATTCTCTCTCTCTCTCTCTCTCTCTCTCTCTCTCTCGTTTTTAAGTCTCACTCCCGCCCACCGACCCCCAGCTACTCTTTCCCTTTTCGTCCCTTTTATTCTCATGAAGTTTGCATTCCACACCTCCTCTGCAGACTGC